TTTTCTGCAATATATAAATTACATTACAAAAAAACATGAATTGTCTTGCTAGACTGCAGTGTTAATGTCAGCTGAACGTGTAACATAAAAATAATATTTCAACTTCAAAGATATAAAACACACATCTGAGCACCAAGAATTATTACCAAATGTGTCTTCAATAAAGCATGAAAGATATATCTGTAAACAATTACCTGAAGTGTCTGATTTTCCCGCCCAAGCTCATGCAAAGCTGCCTGACTTTCTTCCAACCGCCGACGAAGATCAGTAATTGTTTTATGTAGATTTTCAGTCTCTGAAGTATTTGCACAGCAACGTTCTAATAATGCCTGTCGCTCAGACTGGCTGGCTGCAAGCTGTGCTTCTAGCGCTGACCAAAAATAGGAGTAACCACACATTTTTGAAATATGAAATTCAAGGAAAATGAAACCATAATCCTATTTAATAAAATGCCAATATTACAGCCCACCTCTGGTGGCTTGGTAGTGTGACTACAGTCCACAGACCAGGAGAAAATCCCTGCTAGGAATTCGATATACGCGCATGCGCAAGATTTCGTGGTACTTTGGATTCACAGTGTATTTCTTTTTCCTTACCTAATTTTTCTCCTGCTACCTCATCAAGAGATGAATGCACATCCTTCAATTCCTGATATTTCTTCTCAATTTCTACTTCATATGTTTCCTTCATATCTTTATTATCTTTCTGTTGCTTTAGTAACTCACACTTCTCTACAGCCTGTATGCAAGAAGGTACAAGTAAAATGAATACATCAGTCATGATTGGAATTCTGATGATGGTTGCCTTCTGTGTTGTAGTCTGGCAGAAGTTTACGAACGTTTCGGAAATCCTTGCGGCCTCCATCATCAGGGCGACGATCGCCCTGATTATGGAGGAGCAAATCCTACTTGAATTACCAACTACTTTAAGTAGTTTAAGGGGGAAACGTCACGTAATGATTTAATTAAAGATTCATCAATCCTATGTACAGATGTAAACGGATTCTCTGGATATTAGTTTTACAGGTAATTTCTCAATTAATATATACAGTTATGATAAATGCACGGTCTGATACGATTACGCTGTAAACGTGATCATCTACAATAAGGAGCTCGGTTTGAGCTAAAGCTGCAAGAATTAATATTCTGAGTGAAGTTATCGCATGCCGATGAGCTGAGAAGCGTGACGCTGTACGTGAGTTATTGATCGCAACTCCGAACTAGTGAATAAGCCTCGCATTAGTATACACGTTTCCCTCACGAGTTCAATTTATTGTCAAAAGGAAGCTACACGGTCATGATTTATGCTCTCTGCAAGATGATAATCAGTGTGCACTGAATCCTGTGAGCCAACTCCAGCAGATTACAGAGGCTGAAGGGCATAAGTGAATATATAAATGGAATATATAAATGCAATCTACTAAACACCGCACAAAATAATCGGATATGAGATTCGATAAAGAGTTTAACTACAAACATTTTACATAAACAGAACGTTATAAAGTGTACCAGCACTGCCTGTCATATGTCTGTCCTCATTGCAGCCATTTTAAACTAGTACGTTACACCACGGAAGTTATTATTTACTGGAACATTTCAAGCCACTTCACTACAAGAGCCCACATGAATGGAGATCTATTTGTGACCATTCGCTTAAAGCGCAAATAGCCAGAATGTATTAACTCTTCAAATATAACTTCCTGCTGTATGATAACAAGAAGTTCGTAATCTTTTGTGTCTCGTCTGCTACATAAAAACGTAAAGACTGAAATACACACAACTATAATTTTGCCTGCTGCTTTGAAAGGGTGTGAAGCCTGGTCTGTCAACGTAAGAGAACAGAGAGTGAGGGTGTTTGTGGACAGGGTGCTCACGAGAATATCTGGATCTGAAGAGGTCGAATTTGACAGGGGGCTGGAGAAAACTGCGTAATGAAGAGCTTCGTAGCTCGTAAACTTCACCAAATACATTATGAGCGTATTCATGATTAGGAGAATCAGATGGTCGGGGCATACCAAGAGTGGGGGAGATAAGAAATTAGTATAAAAATTTTGGTTGGAAAGCCTGAAGGGAAGGGATGACAAGAATACACATAGATGGGAGGGCAACACTAAAATTTACCTTATGTAGACAGGGTCTGGTGGTATTGACTCGATTAGTAACAATCAATAGCGGATTCCTGCGAACACGATAATGAACCTTGGTGTTCCATAAAAGGCCTATAATTTCCTGACTCGCTGAACGACTGTCTGCTTATCAAAAAGGGCTCTGCTCCACAGAGTTAGTTTAATTACACAAGCATGAAGTAGTTTATGCATGCCCGATCAATGTTATTCAAATTAGTTTCTGTTAAACCATACAGGTCTGCATTATTACTGTACACGCTATGACTTTAAAAAATACGATGAATCTCTTGGAACAATACTAAATAATGCCACAAAATCTTACTAAGAATAAATGAAGTATTCATGTTGTCACAAATATTATATTCCGTAGTTATAGTTTAAATGAGCCGGGATAGCTCAGTTAGTATAGTGACTAACTACGGGCTGGACGACCGGGGTTCGATTCCCGACCGGGGGGGGGGGGGGAGGGGGGGGGCAGAGGATTTTTCCTCTAGCCTCTGCGTGCAGACCGGCTCTGGGGCTCACCCAGCCTCCTCTACAATGGGTAGCGGGGTCCTTTCCCGGGGGTAAAGCCGGCCGGGGCGTGATGCTGACCACTCACCCCCATGTATTGCCGAGGTCAAGGAAGAGAGGAGCTATACCTCCACTCATCCCAAACGCCTACATGGCGTATAGTGGGATAAACTTTACTTTACTTATACTTTGAAAAACATTATAAAGTGGATATTCCTCAGTCTTCTCAGGGATCTCTCGATCGCGATGATACAACGCACAGTGCTACTACAGTTGAACTAAAGCTTAAATTCTCAGGCCGGACCTTTCAGAAAACATCTATTGGTTCGGTTCTCACTTCCAAAACGCAACAAAATTAAAGAGTGTATCCAGGCAACGTATCAATGACATCCTGAGAGCAATAGAGTGAATAGGTCTGGTGATGATTTGAGGATGAACCGAAAGGCAATCACCACCCACATTAATAATCCCACACTTGTACTTGAGAGTTTCGTATGAATTTAAAAATATGCTGCTAACATTCTCCTAAATAACATTAGCACATCAGTGGATCAATCACACCGAGCGAGCTACTCACGACCTCTGAACGACATTCAGAAAAGAATTTCTACAAAATAATTTAAGACACTTCGTAGTATAGATTGTTTCCAGGTTAGAACAATGATGATGTAATTATCAATTCTTATAAATAAACTGTAATTTAGTCCAGTAATATAAACATCACATAAGTACAGGTTGAAAAGAGATTGATATGAATTCTCCAGCGCTATTTTTGTTCTGGACCGAGTTACAATGGCAGACGGACAGCATGGCTCTATTGAAATTAATCAAGCCCACACTGAACGTCCATCAGTCTGTGAATGAATTTATGGACTAATGAAGTGGGTAGAACAGTGCACACAACCATATAGGAAATGGGACAATGTGGCATTCGACACGAAAATGGTCCTATCACTCTTTTTTATGAGCGACATTGCACAAGAACGACAAAGAAGAAAAAAGAATATGTGAACGCGATGATAGCAGAGCACAGCCTCCGTAGCCACAACGGCAGGAGGACACTGCTTCGGTGCTCTCGTTCTCTGTTTTTAGAACTGAAACAAACACAAAAGAGAGTTCTATTTTCAGTGATGCGTTTCGCAAGACTGTAGGTCTAGATAAAGTTACCGGGGGGAAATACAGCCGAACAAACGCTGAGAATAACAGAGAAATAAAGGGAAATGCTGTGTGTATCAGCACTGCAATACGTTCGACGTTCGTATTTTGTTTTGTTTACGGTCTACGGTTAACTATTTCAGGACAATCAGACGTTCATCGTATAAAGCAAAGAATTTCAGGATAGCAGGACCGGAAAGAACAGTGTTTTTAAAAGGCTCTGATGTAAAACCTGCAAGCTCATTTTCATAATACGAGAACACTTTCGTTTTAATAACTTAGACTAACTTCTTCCCCTCCCTGTCAGAAAGTAATTCTGATAATAACCCGTTTCGGCCTCGACTGTAAAACTGTTATCTTTGTTGGGCAGATCTTCTTCACAATATTGACAGTCGCTCAGCTATGAAAAGAATTCCCCACCTTCTTGCAGTCTTAAGGTTCAAGTGCCTGACACTAAGCCACGTTCTGAGCCAGATGAATCCACTTCAAAGATACGCAATCTACTTTTCTCATATCCCTTTTTTATCGTACCATCTAAGCTTGCGTCCTAGGCGGTACCTTCCTTCCAGTTTTCCGACTAAAATTCTCATCTCTCCCATGCGTGCTACATGCCCGCAGATCTCACCCTCCTTGAGTGGAACGCCCTGAAAATATTTTGTTAAGAGTACAAATTAAGAACATCCTCATCATACCGGTTTCCCCGCTTTTCTGTCTTGAGGCCAAATATTTTCCTCGGACACCCTCAATCTGTCTTATTCCCTAAGGGTGAGCGACCAACTTCCACATCCCTACATATCAACGTAAGAGGGATGAAGAGACGAGAGGATGAAAAAAATTACATGATGTGGAGCGTTATAATTTTTACTCTTAACTAAATATTTCTAGGGTGTTCAAATCAAAGAGGGAGAGACGAGAAATGCATAAAAATTTTCAATCAGAAAACATGAAAGAAAGGAACTATTTAGTAAGCAAATGAGTAGAAGGGAGGGTAATACTAAAATGGATCTTAAAGAAACAGGAGTCTGAGGGTATCATTAAATTCGTCTGCCTCAGACAAGGACTGGTGATGGGCTCTTGTGAACACGGTGATGAACCTTCGGACTGAATTGAAGTCCGGGAATTTCTTCTATAGTTAACCGTATTATTAGCTTCTCAAAAAGGGGTCTAAACCGTGGGTGTAGCTAGTTATATAAATCAACAGATAAAAGCATATTTCTGTACGTTTCAATGTAAAAGTGGGAAACGAGAAGACAATAGGTTCTAAAATATAATGGCACAAAGCACCCAAATCAATCTGATTTCAATTTCTTCATAAATGCAATGTTTATCTGTACAGTTATTGCATTTGAAGCACACGTACTAAACATGAGTTTAAAACGAACGTTATTGCAGAATGAAGGACAAGGGGTTAGTTGTCAGTCACTACTTCACGACAGGCAGCTGATTGAGAACAAGGTTAGGTTAGGTTAGGTAGCTACTCCTGTTACATAATGAGAGGGGGAAATGAACACGTGTTAAAACAATAAACAGACGAGAGGCGACAAGGGTACCGGAGAGAAGGTGTTAATGGGTTAAGGATTATAACCTCATACCCCACCCCGTGTTCGTCACACGGAAGGCTTCAAATGTCAGCACCGGCCCTCGATGGGTAGACTGAAGGACGGCGGATTCCACAATTAAGGCTAGCGCGCACTAGCTGTTTTTCTGCCGCGGCGGTTAAACCAATAATAAAAGTGCATTTTTTGACAATCCGAAATGTACAACGAGTAGAGTAACATAGGCGTGTGCCTTGCAACATGCTTGAACAGATTTTCGATACGCTGTTGATTGATTATCGGTTTAATTACGAACGGTCTGAGATCCAATTAGATGATGATGCTGAATAGGGATACCGCATTCTACGCATACGAATACCTGAACACGCAACTCCTACAACGGGATTCAAACCTGGAACCGGAGGGAGCTCAAGACACAATAACGAAGCTGCGTAGTAC